GAGCACTGAATCAAAAGTAGACTTTGTGCATTGCCAGTTATGAGCCAAAAACCAAAACCAGAAAATTATACATAATGTGATAGATAGATAGATAGATAGATAGATAGATAGATTTTCTTTCCCTGAGTCAGAGAGAGAGCTCCGAGGACTGGAGCCCAAACCTCGCATACTGGAGCTCCAGGCTAGATCCCTGGTGCCACACAATCTACTGAACACTGATGGGGGTTAAACCCACCCCTCGAAAACGAAATCATCCAGAGTCTGAGGCCAACTGTGGTCTGAAATCCTAAAACTATCCTTTTCTAGATACCTGACAGACTCGATTCTGCATGTATCACTCAACATTTCTGTGCTTCAGATTCATCATCTATAAAATGGGGATAATATTACTGTCTACTTTTTTGGTCTACTAAGGATAAGTCAGTGAATACATGTCAAGCGCTTAGAATAGTGTTTAACAAAGGGCAACAACTATTTATTACACATACTGGTCACAGCGGGCTGGAGCGATAGCACAGCGGGTAGGGCGTCTGCCTTGCATGCAGCCGACCTGGGTTCGATTTGTCTGCCCCTCTCAGAGAGTCTTTCAAACTACGGAGAGTTATCTCGCCCGCACAGCAAAGCCTGGAAAGCTACCTGTGACATATTCGATATGCCAAAAACAGTAATAACAAGTCTCACAATTTGTTGTGAGACGTTATTGGTGTCTGCTCGAGCATACTGATGAACAACGGGAGGACAGTGCTACAGTACATACCGGTCACAGTTGTTAGGTTAATACTGGTCACAGTATTATTGTACAGATAAGGATATAAGCTACTAAGTCACAGAGTCAAAATTCAAATCCAGACCCTCTTCTCCCCTAAGGGCTGGGTATTTTTTAAAGCATTCTAAGGCTTACCAGACAGTTTGAACAGTTTCATATAAGATTTCACAAATAAATAAATGTAGTATCTCAAAACATTTATAAATTCACACTTGAATCTATACTTATACATTTTTTGTACTTTTTGAGGGGCTACTGCTCCATTTTAAGTTAAACTGATTATACCAAATCAAATGGTTCACTTTGAGAACAGAATTTTAATGAATAGTTACCTATGTTGCTATGTCTGTAAAAACAAACTCTTGTTTAGTTCATCAAAAGATACCTAAAACAAGCACACAGCCAAATCACACCAGGTTGATATGATGAGCATTACTTTAATTTCTTTTTGAATGATAAAGAGTCTAGAAAGAAATATACTAAGATGATGATAATAAATATTTTCATTTTTCTTTCAATGTTTAAAACAGTATGTAAAGTACTGTTTCATCATTTAAAAAATAATTTTAAAATTCATAAGATTGAAAATAGCATTGATAGAAGAAACATTTTGAATTCTAGAAAACAACAAATGCCCAGCTAAAAAACCACCCTATTTTACTCTATTTTTTCAGACTCTGTTCAATTTCTTTTTTTTCTCCTTTACTGATTTAGGTGACTGTGATAACATCCTCCACTGTATCTAAAAATAGAGCAGTGGTGTGTAAATTTATAAGCTGAAATGCAAAACTACACTGAATGTTGAAATTAGAGTATTAAATCATTTAGGATACTCAAATGCACTTTTTTAAAGCTCAGTAATCTACAATATGCTTTCCATATATTTCAATTCAACCGTTTTTACTCTTTTCACTGAACTAAATTCATGTGATTATCATGATCAATTCAGCATCCTCAAATAGGCGAAATCACCCACAAAAAAATTAACTTGGACAAAGCACTCTTTCACCCCAGGTCATAGGTTTCACCTTTGAGTAATGAGGAGAGTTGCTCATCAGTGATGTTCAATCTTCTTTCTATAGCATCCCCTGTGAGGAACTCAGTTTGCAGCAAGGGAGAGGTCTGAACTGTCCCACAAGTGAGTGACTGTGATACACTAACCTAGCGCAATCCCTGCCTTCATTCCCCTTCCTACTCTTGCCGAGTTCTCTGAGATTATGCAGTGATAGATTTTGCCCACTTTACATAGAGCAAAAGCATAACCCAAAGACTAAGATATCTGACAATCCAGCTTAAATACACTTTTTAAAAGTTTCAACGTTAATATATTTCTTAATTTGCTGGAATATGCAAGATTCAAGTAACAATCTGTGTACCTGTCTGTGATGTCAAAGAGAGCTTTGTAACTGTTCAAAGAGCAAACTGCATACCTTGTCTGAAATTGACTTCTCACTAAAGAGACTGGCAAAAAAAGGAGAAAATTGGGGAATCAACCAAAGTAACCTCAGATAGTTTAAGGGAGGTTTTACTCATCTGATTAATAAAAGATGATTTGTACACACCAACTTTTCTAATAATAGAGAAAAGACTGGGGGCTGGAGCAATAGCACAGCGGGTAGGGCGTTTGCCTTGCACGCGGCCAACCCGGGTTCAATTCCCCGCATCCCATATGGTCCCCTGAGCACCGCCAGGGGTAATTCCTGAGTGCAGAGCCAGGAGTAACCCCTGTGCATCGCCAGGTGTGACCCAAAAAGTAAAAAAAAAGGAAAAAAGACTAAGATTGCTACACAAAGACGTAATGTTGAGTGATTCCCAATTTTTTTTCAAAAAATTCAATTTATTACAGACCTGATATCAATTTCCTGTAAGGCCAGGGGTGTATTTCAGTGGTAGAACATGTCTCACACACACACACACACACACACACACACACACACACACACATATATATATATATATATATATATATATCTGGCTTAAATCCCTGGCACCCCACCAAAAGAAAAGAAAAAAATCAATTCTATATATGTGGCTCTTTTTCCCACTCTCCAAACACTATTATTATAAACTAATAAGAATAATCCCTACTGAAAATGAGGTTTGGGCATATGCCATATTAACAAATACACTGACTCAGAATAGTGACTGACAACTGACAGTCCATTGTAGCATTTAAGCAGAGCCTATTTTCTCTAAATGTCTACTTTCTATACATAAATTCTATACCATTTCAGAGTCACAGTATGTACAAATAAGCCTTATGAAAAAAATTCTCATAAGTGGGAAAAAAACATTTTTAAAACTTCCTTGAAAAATGCATGCGTTTAATTCAAATATAAGTCAATATTCTGTCATTAATAAAAATAAAAGGTATGGCAAAGATGTTAAATAGGGTATCAAAATAAGGCGTGTCTAAAAGGAAAATATATAATTGCATGATCTTCATAACCATGACTTCATAATTAATCAATAACTGCTGATAGCCATGCTTTTTACAGTGACAGAACCCTTCAGCAATACACAAAAATGATATGCAGGTTAAGCATTTGAACCAAAAGAAAAATAAGTGTCTGGGTCTAAAAGCTGCTGTCCTCTGTACCAGAAGAAGCCACCAGAGGCAAGCGAGAATACAATGTAACATGGCTATCTCAGCTCTATCGATTCACCGCTGAAAAAGTCGATAAAATTCTTAGCCAGGGTCCAGAGTTAGAATAGCAGGTAGGAGCTTGCTTTGTACATGGCCAACACGGGTTCGATCCCCAGTACTATGTGTGGTTCCCACAGCACTGCCTGGAATGATCGCTGAGCAGAAAATGAGTCAGGAGTAGTCCTAAGCACATCGGGTGTGACAAAAACAAAAAACAAATTATCTGCCAGCATTATTGGGAGGAATGAGGGTTTTGGGCACAGGCCTAGCCGTGCTAAAACCTAATTCCTGGTTCTGTGCTCGGGGATCACCCCCTTTCAGTGCTCAGGGGCCATCTAGGATGCTCGGGTTGGAACCAGGTCGACCCCTGCAGCATCTTACTTGCTTGCTACGCTGTCTCCTCAGACCCTCAGGATCAGTTTTTTGGCGTGAAATCGGTTTTGAAAACATGTTGTCCATTGTTGGCTTTAACTTGAAGACTTTCTCTCCATTGAAAAAAAAAGGACAAAAAACTCCCAGTGTGTCCAATATGAAATGTCAGTGAAGTAACCCAAACTACAATGTCAGTAACAGGCCCAGCAAGAGAAATCAAAGCGGACAGAAAGAAAATGCCCCTAGCCCAACTTCGCAAGCCGTTGGCTTTTCGACCAGCAGCAAGCGTGTGGTGCGAGAGAAGCCAGGGCCTGGCGGGGCCGGACGAGCAGAGACGGAGCATCCACATGGAGCGGGACCGGGCAGAGACCGAGCTGGACCGGACGGAGACCTAGTACCTGCACACCCCCCTGCGGCCAGGGGACCTGCACACCCCCCAGCGGACCGAGTGCCTGCACACCCCCCTCCGGGACAGGAACCCGCACACCCCCCTGTGGTCCGGGAACCTGCACACCCCCCTGCGGACTAGGGACCTGCACACCCCCTGCGGCCGGGAACCTGCATACCCCCCTGTGGCCGGGGACCTGCACCCCCTCTTGCCGGGCTCCTGCGCCGAGGCGAGCGATGCGCCTGGGGCCGCTCCCACCCGGCCTCAAACTTCACGTCCAAGTTCGCTGTGCGAGGGGTGGGCGGGGTGGCGGGGAGGGGGCCAGGGAGCCCGCCTGGCTTGAGCCGCCGCGAATCGCAGCCAGGAGGTCACCCTGCGTGTCAGGGACCATGTTCTCCTTCCAGGGATGTGACCTCAGGCGGCAGCAGCCGAGGCACCGAAATAGCCGGGGTGGGGGAAGGTTCGCCCCGGCGACCTGGCGCGACGGGCTTCGGCGGCCCGGTTCGGCCCGGTGGGCAGGAGCCCGGGCTCGGCGGCGGCGGCGGCGGCGGGAGGGGGCTGCGGACCCCCGCGCCTCGCCCCGGAGCCCCGGCGCGGGGAGGACGCGGCGCGACGGCGCCCCGGGGGCGCGGGGGTCCCGGCCCGGCCCGCCCCTGCCCGGCGCGGGGTCCCCCCCCCACCCGGCACCTGCCCGGGCCCCCACCTGCCCAGCCGCCCCCCGGCGGCCGCGCCCGGGCCCGCCCCGCCCCCGCCCTTCCCGGCGCTGCCCCAGACCCCGCGCGCTGGGGGCGGCCCGGGGAACCCCACCCGCCCGGCCCCGCGCTCACTTTCTGGATCCGCTTCAGCGCCATGGGGCGGCGGGGACGCGGGGGGACGCGGCGGGCACAGGCGGGCACAGGCGGCGGCGGGTCGCGCGGCCCGAGGGGGGCCCGGGGGCTCGGGCGCGGGTGGTCGGGGGTGCCCGAGCGCGGGTGCGCGGGGTGTGCGGGCGGGGACGCCGGCGAGACTCTTTTGTTTCCGCTTTTGCTTCTGGGAAGGAGCCTGCGCCCTCCCCGCCGCGCCCCGCCCGCCTGGCACACTGGGAAGTGTAGTCCCTGCTCCTCGCCCCGCCCGGCCGGGAGCCCACGGGTGACCGCCTGGTCCCCGCTCCTCAGCCTCCCGCCCGGCCGGGGGGGTCCACGGGTGACCTCCTAATCCCCGCTCCTCGCCCCGCCCGGCTGGGGGGCCACGGGTGACCGCCTAGTCCCCGCTCCTCGCCCCGCCCGGCTGGGGGCCCACGGGTGACCGCCTGGTCCCCGCTCCTCGGCCTCCCGCCCGGCCGGGGAGGGGGTTCCACGGGTGACCTCCTAGTCCCCGCTCCTCGCCCCGCCCGGCCGGGGGCCCACGGGTGACCGCCTAGTCCTCGCCATGGGTGACTGCTTAATCCCCGCTCCTTGGCCCCGCCCAGCCAGGGGCCCACGGGTGACCGCCTGGTCCCCGCTCTTCGGCCTCCCGCCCGGCCGGGGGGGTGGCCCACGGGTGACCGCCTAGTCCCCGCTCCTCACCCCACCCGGCCAGGGGCCCACAGGTGACCGCCTGGTCTCCGCTCCTCGGCCTCCCGCCCGGCTGGGGGGATCCACGGGTGACCTCCTGGTCCCCGCTCCTCGCCCTGCCTGGCCGGGGGCCCACGGGTGACTGCCTGGTTCCCGCTCCTCACCCCGCCCGGCCAGGGGCCCAAGGGTGACCGCCTAATCCCCGCTCCTTGGCCTCCCACCCAGCGAGGGGGGCCCACGGGTGACCGCCTAGTCCCTCTCCTCAGCCCCGCTCGGCCACGGGGCCCACGGGTGACCCCCCGGGACCGAGGGGGCTGCCCACGGATGACCGCCTAGTTCCTGCCCCTCGGCCTTCCACCCAGACCGAGGGGTGCCCACAGGTGACCCCAGACCATCGGCGCGTGGACTGGCCAGGGATCCGGAGTGCATCGCTGCACCTCGGTTCGGAGGGCACCCCTGAAGCCAGAGTCCCCAACCTGCGACACGTTTCCTGATGGAGACCATCTGGCCCTTCCGAGTGCCTCAGTTTCCATCGCGCACAGACTCACACCAGTCGTGGTTCCTGATGCCCGGCCTGCCCCGTCCCAAGACTTGCCTCCTCTCTCCAATGCTGATCCACACACCTGCTCCTCCTTCCAACTGTGGGGTCCGACAGCGTCACTGTGAGCTCCTTCCCTCCCTAGGTCCTTCACCTAGTAGAAACAGTCTGCTCACACTGTGGACTTGAATACTCATTAAAACCTGACTTCTCTATACCCATTTTGGCAAGGATTTTCATCATAAACGGATGCTGGGTCTTGTCAAATGCTTTCTCTGCATCTATTGATATGATCATATGGTTTTTATCTTTTCTTTTGTTGATATGATGGATTATGTTGATTGATTTCTGAATGTTAAACCATCTTTGCATCCCCGGGATGGATTCCACTTGGTCATGGTGTATGATCTTTTTGATGAGTTGTTGGATTCTATTTGCTAATAGTTTGTTGAGGATATTTGTGTCTGTGTTCATCAGGAATATCGGCCTGTAATTCTCTTTCTTTGTGGTATCTCTGTCTGCTTTTGATATCAGGGTGATATTTGCTTCATAGAAACTGTTCGGAAGTGTTTTTGATATTTCAATTTCGTGGAAAAGCTTAAAGAGGATTGGCAGTAAGTCCTCTTTAAAGATTTGGAAGAATTCACTAGTGAATCCATCTGGGCCAGAACTTTTGTGCTTGGGGAGACATTTTATTACCGTTTCAATTTCCTTGATGGTGATAGGTCTGTTCAGGCATTCAGATCTTCTTTTTCAGCCTTGAGAGGCTATAGGAATCTAGAAGTTCCTCGAGGTTTCCATGTTCCGTGGCATAAAGCTTCTCAAAGTACTCCCTGAGGATCCTTTGAATTTCTGTAGTTTCTGTTGTAATGACCCCCTTTTCATTTCTGATTCAGTTTATTAGGGTTTTCTCTCTCCCTTTCTTTGTGAGTTTTGCTAGAGGCTTATCGATCTTGTTTATTTTCTCGAAGAACCAACTCTTGGTTTCATTGATCTTTCAGATTGTTTTTTGGGTTTCCATTTCGTTAATCTCTGCTCTGAGTTTTATTATTTCCTTCCTCCTGTTCAGATTGGGCTTCTTTTGTTGGCCCTATCGAAGCTCTTAAGCTGTGAGGTGTGGTTACTTATATGGGTTCGCTCCTCCTTCCTGAGGAATGCTTGTAGAGCTATAAACTTTCCTCTTAACACAGCTTTTGCTGTGTCCCATAAGTTTTGGTAACTCGTGTCCTCATTTTCATTCGTTTCTGGGAATCTTTTGATTTCCTCTTTTATTTCCTTCCTAAGCCACTCGTCCAGTAGTGAACTGTTTAATTTCCAGGTGTTTGATTTAGTTTTCTGTTTCTGTATGTGATTTACTTCTAATTTCAGTGCATTGTGGTCTGAGACTATCTTAAACTAAGAAGCTTCTGCACCTCAAAAGAAACAGTGACCAAAATACAAAGACAGTCTACAGAAAGGGAAAGCATATTCCCCCAATACACATCTGACAAAGGACATACAAAGTACTGGCTGAACTCCACAAGAAGAAAACCACCAACCCCATCAAAAAATGGGGTGACGAAATGAACAGAAACTTTCTCAAAGAAGAAATCTGAAGGGCAAAAAGGCACACGAGAAAATGCTCTACATCACTAATCATCAGGGAGATGCAGATCAAAACAGCAATGAGATATCACCACACCACAGAGACTCCAAAAGAACAAAAGCAACTGGTGTTGGCGTGGATGTGGCGAGAAAGGGATCCTCCTTCGCTGCTGGTGGAAATGCTGACTGGTTCAGCCCTTTCGGAAAACGCTATGGAGGATTCTCAAAAAATTAGAAATTGAGCTCCCGTTTGACCCAGCAATACCACTCCTGGGAATATATCCCAGAGAGGCAAAAAAGTGTAGTCGAAGTGACATCTGCACTTGTTTGTTCATTGCAGCACTGTTTACAATAGCCAGAATCTGGAAAAAACCTGAGTGCCCTAGAACAGATGACTGGTTAAAGAAACTTTGGTACATCTACACAATGGAGTACTATGTAGCTGTTAGAAAAGATGAAATCATGAAATTTACATACAAGTGGTACTACATGGAAAGTATCATGCTAAGTGAAATGAGTCAGAAAGAGAGGGACTGGCATAGAAAGATTGTATTCATCTGGGGAACATAAAGTAACAAAATAAGAGACTAACACCCAGGAATAGCTGAGATAAGTACCAGGAGGTTTACTCCATGGCTTGGAGGCCAGCCGCACATTCTAGGGGAAAAGGCAGCTCAGATAGAGAAGGGAGCACCAAATAAAGGGTGTTGGGAGGATCCTCCCAGGATGGGAGATGCATGCTGAAAGTAGACTATAGACCGAACGTGATTGTCACTCAATGCCTCTTTTGCAAACCACATCACCCAAAAGGAGAGAGAGAATAAAAGGGAGTGCCCTGCCACAGAGGCAGGGTGAGATGGGGGGATGGGGGGTGGGAGGGATACTGGGATCAGTGGTGGTGGAGAATTGGCACTGGTGGAGGGATGGGTATTTGATCTTTGTATATCTGAAACCCAAGCACAAAAATTTGTAAGTCTATAACAACTGTACCTCATGGTGTTTCACTAATAAAAATTTTAAAAAATAAGAGTAATAAATGCACATAACAGAGCCATGATGGGGGGGAAAATAATCCTGGCTTCTGACCCGGCACTGTGCAGCAAGTAAGGTGCTTGCCTGACACACCGCCGACCCAGATTCAATCCCCAGCATCCTGGGTGGTGTCGAGCCCCGCCACAAGCGATTCCCGAGTATAGAGCCAGGAATAAGTCCTGAGCATCGCTGACCATCCCTCCCCCCTCCACCCCCACCCCCCCGTCAAATCTGGAAGCAGTATATGTTTCCACCAAAGTCAAGCTTTTAATTACCGAATCCAATTCACTCCTCATTCTCTTGATAAATCACCCTTTTTGCTATTCTTCCATCTGAAAACAAACAAAAACCGTTCACCGCCTCTGGTTCATACAGTGCCAAGGTAGCTGAGTCTTCTCTGATTTTCCCTCTTCTGTAACTAGCCCTTTTCCTCGGGTGTTGTCGTGCTTTGAACCTTTCTCCAACCACAGGCTCCGAACTGATTTCCTTCCTGTGCACTTTTTCCAACCCATTGAGTCTCTAATCTTGTGCCTTTGTCGCTATTTACCAGATTTTCACCTGGGGCCGCCTTGGAATATCCCAGACACCCACAGATGTGGAAGTGGGGGGGGGCACATCACCAACGGTTGAGAATGGCTGGCTTACCAAATCTTGACAGCTCCCATCGGTATCTTCCCAGAAGCTGCTGAGCTGAAGCCTGGTGTGCCGAGAGGCTGTGGCATGTGGCTGGAGAGACAAGGGCTTGAGACTAACCAGGATGGAATCTGAACTCTGTCCCCACCACCAGGTTTTCTTGACTAGAACACTTAAACTCTCTCAGGCTCAGTTTTCTCATCATTCAATAGAGTTCATGCATTGTTGGATTGTTGTTCAACCAAATTTAATCTACATGGCATTTTATTAGCTTATAAATATAGTTTTACAATTATTCATATAAAATGTTCCTCTGCTCTGTGTTGATACATGACAGTGGTCTTCAAGCACCCAGGCTTCACTGGTTACTTTTCCCTCAGTGTGGACACAGTTCCATGCTGCATTTAGGCACTGGCACCCCAACGGGTGCTCCCCATGAAAACTATTGATATCCCCCAACCAACACTTCCCATCAGGATTTTTTCTTCAAAATGAACAGAAACTTTCTCTGTTCATTGCTCTCTGACACCACATATTGGACTTTCCTTCAGAATGGAGATCCTCTTGTCCATCCTGAGTTCCTTCATTTAACACTTGCACTTGACACTA